TTTAATTTCGAAAATTTTATAATAATGAGTACAATAACGCGTGTATACAATAATACAATATTATATGTGACATAATTGTGTTGCACAACGAAATATGGGTATATCACASGTTACAACAATAACACGCACATCGTATAATATTCTACCCATAACAACAGTTAATTAAAAACTTTGACACTCGGTCAAATGCTTTGAATTTTTTTCAACTTCCACGGTACCTATATATACTTGTTATACTTCGAGCCGCGCTGTTTTGCTCGCTTTAACGCATCGCAAACAATAATTTCTAACAGTATTATATTACATGGGGATTAAAATCCTCGGGAAATCACGGTATCCCGCTTCTCTCACCGTCAAAGTAGTCGGCCGCCCTCTCCACCCACGGCTGCCACAGGTGCCTGGTCCGGTCCGCCTTGTTGTTCCGACCGTCCCGGTGCCGATTGTGTTGTTYGTATCTCGAGAACATGACGCACAGGCTCATAACCTTAGCGCTTAATACGATGCGTGTAATAATATTTTACGATTGTCGGATCGTGACCGAGAAATTTAGCGAAAACCAAAAAACAGYGAACCGAAAAATATTAAAAGAAACAATAATTGTAGTAATAACAATAATAATACGAATGACAAGTCTGTTGGCGTCGACCGCAGTGCGTGTCAGAACCGTACGCGTCGCGAACGATGAATGGCGGCTGCGGCTCGTCGGCGGTGGCGTCGTCGCCGTCGTCGTCGCGCCGCCGCCGCTTTTAAAGATTGTCCGCGCCGCCGCGGTTCATTCATGGTGCGGCTGCGGGAAACCGGCGTCCGGCAGGGCGCGGAGGGCCCGCGCGCACGTGCACTAGTACACCGCGAACGCGTCCTCCGCCGTTTTCATTAATGGGCACCCCGACCCGTGCTCCACAGGTGCGCGCACACACGCACGATAAATAATGTAAAAAAAGGGTTCACCGGAAACTACAACGCCTCCGGCCTAAACGTACCCATTTATTATGTACATACATCATTCTTGTACTTGCATACGCGTTTATAAGACACACACGCTCGCGACCGTATAGAAACGTTATATTATTATAATATTCTACCGTGTTATTATATATTATTATAAATCGTCTTCCTTCCCTCTCGGGCGGGAACGACAACAGCAACAACAACAACAACAACAACAGAAACGACGACGACAGTAATAATAATAACGCTCTCGCGATTACAATATATTATTATAATAAAAGACACGCACGCTGCGGCTCGAATATACGACTATGTTTATTATTATTATTGTTTATTACTATTATTGTTGTTCTTGTATAATATTATATCACAGAATAAGACAATTAAATCGTGTGTTGATGATGACCATTGCACTCACCACAGTAGCGAGGTGCTCCGGAAACCAAGACGCACGATGGACCGACTACCATCATCGAGACGAGTCCGTCGGTAATTGCACCACAGGGGCCCCCGGGGCTACCGTCGTGTACACGCGATGTGTACCATGTTATTATAAATATACGATTATTAGTCGTACGGGTAAACGCGGAGGAGACGGTAGCAAAAGACGATTAAGATAAGGT